CAGGGGTAACCAGCCAGAGACGGGGTGGAAGGCTCTTAAATATTCGCCCTCCTTCCACCCAGGGTACTGGTCCCCCCGTGAAACTTGATCTGGTAAGGTGAATTCAAAAGCTTTGTTAAAAACAGGGAATCTAGCTATGAAAAGAAGCCCAGTCATCTCACAGGATGCATTTGGAAGGAGCCCGGGTCTTGCGAAGGAGGGTTATACAATGAAGACTTTTATTGAACAGTTCCAACAAATGAAGAGTTATTTCTGTTCCATCTTTCAGCCTCATTTTCTATGTTCCCCTGCTGGGTGTTTCCTCTAAACCAGGACCATGTGCAAGCCATGGGATCATAAAACATCTGAAGACCTTTCTTTTCTAAAAATACTATTGCCTTGCCCCCCCCCCCTTTTCTTCCCTCAAAACAGTGACTTCAAGAAACATGTGATGTACAAATGTTTTGGTTTTTGTTTTTTTGTTTTTGGTTGTTCTGGTTCCCTTTCCCATACGCAAAAACTAGAGATGATAAAGCCTGTCAGATTCTCTGCTTAGTTAATGCAATCCCATGATAGCTAAAAGTGCAATATCTTTGCTGGCTGTGGCTTAGTGAAAAGAAGTAGTCTAGGAGTCAGGAAGCCCTGGGTTCCATTCATTCCATGTGCCTCTGACACATAACTGGCTGTGTGATTCTGGCCAAGTCATTAAACCTTGCACGCCCTGGGCCATGGCGGAAGACTAAGGAGCAGAGAAGGTGGTGCTAACCTGTGTTGGCAGAGGGAGCTTCCCCTTTGGAGTATTTCCTATAGCAGGGAAATCATAGATCTAGTTCCTATCATTTCCTTTGCCCAGATGCTCACCTTCTCCTTGCAAACAAATCATTTTCTGTCTCTACTTCAAAATTTTTTAAAAATTCAATTGAACAAACATCTATTAAACTGTTGCTATATGCCACTTGCTTCCTCCTTTTCAGACTAACCCCCAGATTTTGTCTTTCTTAAAGGTTACAGCTGTGTTCAGTAGTATGGACTACGTTCTGCCATTTGAGACTGTGAGATTCTTGGGGAACCATGTCCTTAATTTTCCCCATAACTTGCCTTCAGCCTCAGTCCAGTATTTTTCAGGCAATGGGGTAGAGGCAACATGGTGGAGGAGAAGCCCTGGCTCTGGAGTAGGGGAGAGTGAGGGTTGAATCTTAGCTCAGCTACTTACTGGGTCGTGGCTAAGTCCCTTGTGCTCTCAAAGCCTTCTGCTTCTCTTTGGTAAAATGAGGATAAGAAGACCTGGACCACTTCCCTCAAAGTGTTGCTGTGAGGATCAGTTGAAAGCACTTTGGCAAGTCAATAAACATACATAAAGCACTTACTATGCACCAGCATGGGGGATAGAAAGAAAGACAGGAGCTCACAATCTAAGGCTGCGTGAATGTCCATTACTGCCACTGAAATGAAAAAAACTTGTCCAAACACATTCTTTTACAGGCATAAATAGAAAATCATATAAATGTTTTTGAATTCAGTTTTTTGAACATCAAAAGAACATACAAGGACGTTGTCTTTTTTTTTTTTTTTTTTTTGGTGTAGAGGAGATGTGCATTGGACATAAGTATCACGGGAGCCATGAAGGGAGGTTCCGAGAGAGCCAAAAAACCTTCATATTCAATGTTAGTAGTGCTAGTAGATTTCTCTGCTCGGATACTGACAGCCCTAAACGCTATTTAAATTATAAATGGCTGAGGAAATAAGAATGGACTTCCAGCTGACTGATCATACGTGTTAGAGAAAAGGCCTCAAGGCAACAGCTTAGTGTATTGATTGTAAATTACCTTTCTTATCTTGTATAATTGGATAGACACACAACCCAAACACGATTTTTAAAAAATGGAATGAATTAAGCTTCATTTTCATTTATCCCACAAATACTCAAATTTCCACCTTCACCATTTCATTAACTCACTGTCAAATGTTACTTCTTCTTCTCTCTTTTTTCTGTTCTGTTCCTCATTGAAGATTCACCAGTGTTACATTGCATTTTTACATCTAAATGACACGCCTGGTTAACATTGTGTACTTAATCCAGTGGGCTTGGCTAAAGTTTGACAAACTTAAAAGAGTTAATTATGGCCGCTTCAGAAATTCAAGAGTTGTTGGTCAGGTATAATTTAAGGCAGGAAAGAAGGATTACTTCTAACTATATGGCTTTCTGTGGTAATATCTCCTGGAAAGAGAATATTATCACTGATAATTTGTAATAGCAGAACGTCTACCTTCAAAAACACTTTTCTTTGGATCTTTCTTTACACGAGTGTGTGCGCGCGTGAACAGTTACTTTGAGCTTTCCCTTTACATTGTAGAAGACAGGAAAAGGATTGAGGTTGGTAGGTTGAGGATAGAAGGGGATAAAGTAAAGTCTTTATGGAGAATTTTTGCCAAATTCCTACAGGTTTGATTCTTTTGAGTAAGGGCCCCTATTCTGGGGCTTTCCCGGGAGTTAGGTACAGAGGCTTTATAACAACTATGTTCTTTTTTCTCCGGGAATTTTAAAATTTTATTTCTGGATTTGTGGGCTATGTTCTGGACGGCCAGGAGCGCTAGAAGTAGGTTGAATAAATGGAACATTATTGTGTCTCTGCATAATGCCTAGAACACCGCCATTTATCACAACATCACATTGAAATTATTTGCTGATATGGGGGGAGGGCCAGGAGAGAAATTCAATTCACTAAGCCTTTATTAAGTTTCTTCTCTGTGACAGGCATTTTGCTGGGCAATAGGGACAGAAATGGACAATGAAACACTTCTTGGCTCAAGGAGCTTGCCTTCCCCAGCGCACGTACACTGATAAGTAAATGTGAGGTGTCGACAAAGTAAATACAAAATAGTTCAGACAGAGGAGACCACTCACAATGGGGGAAGGGCCTAATGCAGGAGGAGGTATTCAGCTGAGTGACAGATTCCAAGGGCTGGAGGTGACCCCAGAGCATTCCAGGCTTTGTGCAAAGTTGTAGAGTAGAGAGATGGAATTCTGCGTGTCCAAGGAAGAGCGGTAGCAGACCCAACTGCATGGAATGTGGAGTCTGTAAGGGGTAGTGACAGCAGCTCAGTCCAGGCTGGATCCAGACGGTGAAGGCCCTTTAATGTCCAATAGGTGAGGCTATATTTTACTCTAGATGCAACAATGACCCATTAATGCTTCTTGAGCAAGAGAAAAGTGGGTCTTTTCTTCCCAGAAGACCCTTTACTGTTTATTTCATCCCCATCCTTAGGTTTCATTAGGATTATCAACACAAACCTCAACACTGCATCCTTTAAAGTTGGATGGGATTTAACTTCGTCCAACAAGGGTTTATTAAGTGGGAAAAACTTGGAAGCAGTTTGATACCTGCCGTTAAAGGACAAAACTCAAAATCCGGGTGGATTTCTGGCATTTGCTACATAATTTCTCTATCTCCAACCTGCCTCTGATGAAGGAGTACAACGAAGGGACACAGGAGCTCCCCTTCTGATGGGTCATCACTCCTTAGTGTTTTTTTTTTCTTTCTTATTTTTATGCTTTAATAGAGATAGTTGAAAGACAGAATTGAGAGGGACCTTAATTTGTGTAAAATTGCTATATTCATTCTGATAACATTTAGAAAAAGGATACTCAATCTCAGTTCAGAAATGCAACTGATAGTGTCACGCTTCACACTTAAAGCAGCAATTAGAGTAAATTGGTCATTTAAACCGACATTTAAGCTGATTCCAACTTAATGGCAATCAATATTCAAATAAGCCAGGTGGGACAGCAGGAAATATTCATTCATATTCATTCATGAAACATTAATTAAATGCCTACTATGTGCAAAGCACTGGGCTGGGGAGAGATACAAAGTTTATTATTTTTTCTTTTGAACAAGACACAAAGTTTTGCACTTAGCACAGTGCCTGGTCAGACACAGTTAAGTGCTTGTTGACTAACAAAGTTTAGAAAAGACAGGCTGCCAACCTTGACAAGAGCTTTCGGTACGTGCAAAGAAGATTCGGACAGAATAACTGCAACACACAATACCATGTGGTTAATACGCTAAAGAATCACAGGACAAAGCATGCCGTAAAGGTTTCTGGCTGAGGCTATCGGGGAAGGCTGGTTGGGGTAGGGGGAGGCAGCGCAGCCATTCTGACTGAAAGAATGGGCAGGAAGGAATTCGTCAAGCGGAGAAGGGGAGGGAGGGCAGGCACCCTGGGCACACACAGGCTGTTTGGGGGACACGGAGGAGTCCAGTTGGGCTGAAATACAGACTGTGAATAACATAAGGCTGGGGACTAGGGCACTGGGGATTGGCCCTAAACTGTGGAGCAAAAGAACCCGAACCTGACTCAGTGGGCTGTATAGTACAGTTGTAGATTCACGAGCAAGGAAGGCCATCCTGGCACTGAGTGTTAACAAAAACCAAATGTAAAAATAAATCAACATGAGCTTAACCCGAGGCCTGACTGGACCCCAGAGACAGCAGCGCTGACTTCATGGAAATTCTACCGGCAGCTTGACTGGGGAGGAAAAGCCCTCATCTTGGGGAGTCCAGCTCCATGCTCAGAGCTTCCTCAGCTATAAAATGGGGATAATGTGCTTTGTAAACCTTAACCTGCTTCTCTAGTAATCACTGCCTGGAGGATCAGCTCCGATCTGGGCATGTCCAAAATCCTTCAGGTGACTAGGAAGACACCACAAGGTTATCGCGGTTGAGGGGTGCCAGGACAGCTTGTGAGGCCTCTACCAAACTCCTGGGGTTTCCCATCTCCCATTGTGATGGCAAGGAGTTTCAGACAGCTGGCTCCTAGGAGACCTCTCTGGGGTAGGCTGGCTCCAGGACTGCCTGCCTGAGGCTTAGTGGGGTGGGGAAGTGCATGGATCAGAAGCCCTGGTGCCCAGTCCTGGGCCTGGCAGCTACAAAATCCCTATGTGGCACTTCAAAAGGATGCCAAACTCAGTTGCTCTTTGCTGGTGAACACCATCATGCACACTATATTCACACAGAACATAGTTGCTAGGCAAAGTTTTTATTTCCACTAAAAAACCAGCCCAATCCAAAAGATACCAACGTACACAGCCATACCATCTCCAGTGCTGGCTGTGGAGCTCTCCAGGTTTAAAAAAGGAGGCATATGAGACTCCCACATTAGACAACTTAGGATGTATTTTATCAAGTGGTAATTGCAGGTCTTTGCCTTCAGTCCTTCACAGGATAAACGGTACAATAGCCCACTCCTCCTGGGCTGAGGACAAAGAGGAGACTCAAATGTGTTCAACAATTCTGCACAGAAGGCTCCCAAGCAGAACCGGAGAAGCCTGGGCCCATTATACACTCGCCATGAGCTCATGGGGCAGGTCACAGCTTCCATTTCTCCCACTATTCATTTATCAGATGGGGATGTTCTTCAGAAGACACAGAGAACAATTAGGATTACAGCAATCACTCTGCTATCAAGATGTAAGTCATCATACAAATGCTGAAAGTCATTCAATTGGCAAAGCCTAGGATTGAAAGTTTTGGGGTTTTTTTTGCAAAATCAAAAGGGATACAAACTTGGGAGAAGGAAAAAATGCCTACTGTTGCCTAGGAATAAAAACTTCTCAGGTTCTATTTTAAACATGCACTTCACACACGTCCCCTTTACCTTGAAGGAAAGTTCTAGGCCTGTTACATTCATTTTGTAAGCTGGCTATCACGTTCTCTTTTGGCTGGAGACCAGGATGCAGCCTCTGAAAGTTCCAGTGCCAAGAGGTGAATGTGTGTGGTTGGGGCCAGGACAAAGCCACCCGGTATCCCGCTAACACTCAGTCAGTCGTCCCATTCACAATGACATTAAGAGAAGCCCCCAGCTCCTAATGGTGATGTGCTGTGATTCTAACTGCCTGGCCTAGGACACGAAAACATAACCAAGGAAAATAAAATACTTCAAAGCCAAAAAAATTCTGTGCGAAGACTGGACATCTTAGTTAACATCACACGTGCCCACTGATCAAATGACCACTGAAAAAGCATGCTCTCTTGTATTGAAAAAGGGTCCTGTTAGATGCTCAGAAGCCCTTCTGGGGGTGGCTTGAGAGGAACCTTTCCTAACGTAAATTTCTTTGCTACAAACTGTTTGAGTTCTTCGGCAGTCAGTTCGTTTTTGGGTGTGAATAAGTGCTCGGCCGAGGCTGTGTCACTGCCCCTGGATGATGGGAGGGTGGACGAGGCACCGCTCTGCCCAAAGCCACCGGCAGACAGTCCAAACGGCGTGGCCCCGGAGCCGGAGCCCGAGGGGCCAAAGGCAGGGCTGCCAGAGGCACCTGCTGTGCCTACTGGAGAGGAAGCAGGAAATCCTGAAAACCCAGCTGATCCAAAGTTAAAAACTTCCAGGCTTTTAAATGAAAAAGATGCTGCCGAGACGGCTGCCGCCTCCCCAAATCCAAAGGAAGTGGGAGCAGAGGTGGTCAGAGTCGAATTAGAAGAAGATGAAGCTGTCAGTGCCGGAGCGGTCGGCATCACTGCAGCCCCAAACACTGACGTGCTGCTGCTAGAAGGGGCAGCACCAAAGGCCGAAGTGGGCTTAAAACTAAAATTCTGAGCGCCGCTACTGCTGCTACTGTTCACTGGGAAACCTGCAATGACAGAAAAAAGAAAAGAAACCTGCTAAGTCCAGAAAATCTGCGGGCCTCCTTGGCTCTCTTCCCGGCTTTCATTTTGGGGAGAGGACCTGACCCTCTGGGGGTCCCGAGGCCAACATTTCCTGAGGGTCACTGGGGGGGCACTTCAACAACTCCAGACTCTGCTTTCTCAGAGAGAACACTGGGATGCTCCCCACCCCCCAGCATTGAAATGATTAAAGTGCTTTGGGAAATCTTAAAGCACCACAGCAGTGGGAGTAATTAGGAGGAAGGGAAAGAGCAGACAAAGGGCTGGGAAGGGGAGAGAGAACAAAGTCCCTTTAAACTGTTAATTAGGTCCAGTGCCACGGCTGGGCATCTTCGCTAGGGAAGGAAGCTCAGCCCGAACAATTCCCAAGGCAGGGGATCTGACCACACCTTGCATGCCTGTGTCCCCAGCTCTGAGCCAGGCTGCGGGTGGGCTTAGGAGCAACAAGGACCACGATCTCATCCCAACACAGACCCACTTGCCACAAAGATGAGGCAAGGGGATGGAGGGGAGACGGGATGCAGAAGATGCGGGGCCTCCCAACCTAAATTGGTCTCACTCCACTTTAAAAAAAAGTATCCCCCCCCCCAAAAAAAAACCGCCAGAGAACAAAACAAACAATAACATTTCCTAAGTTATGTAAACAATTACGCAGAGAGCTGTTGACTGAGCAGTGGGCTTAGGCATCAGTCCACTTCCCTTTATCTGGCTCCTGTAAATAAATACCTAGCACACCTGCTGGGCCATCGGCCACCACTTTTATTACAACTGGCTCCCTGAAGCTCTCTTCCCCAGGAACCCTTACACTTTCTTCACCTCCCCAGCCCACTGACGGAAGCCTGTCACCTGCTGGGGCTGCGTCCCTTCTGTTATCATTCTAACAGACACATCTGGTCCTCTCCCCCAGGGGACCTGCGGGGGCAGCTTTGAACTTTCTGAGGTCAACAGAGTCAGTGTGAGGGGCAGGAGAAAGTATTTTCCTTGCATAAACCCCCCTGCACATGGGAGTTTGCTAGTGCAGCCATTTCAGGAAGATCAGAATCCATCTTTCCCTACACACGGCATTTCAACTCAAACACTTTGGGGGCTTCAGCTCATGTGGGTCTGATCAAATCAGTTCCAAGAGCTGTGGCAACCCCAAACTCTGCTTTCTCAATCACTCCTCCGCTTGTTTGTAAGGCCGGAGCCTGTCAAATCCTATAAACGTTCTTCAGAACGAAGGAGAGGTCTAGTCTGTTGTTCCCTTCATGGCTGTCCGTTGAGCTTGGTGTCTAATGGAGCCAGGATAAAGGGGAGTGGCCTTTGTAAGCTGGGTCTGAAACCATGATGCTAAAACTTCCAACTGCCCTGGAGAGAGGACTTTAAACTTAGGCAGGCGCTTTCCACACGTTACACTGTGTGAGCCTCACCCCAGCCCTGTGAGGAAGGAACCACAGGCAGGATTATCCCCATTTCACAGATGAAGAAATGGAGGCAGACAGGGAGAGCGCCTTGGGCCATGGCATTGTGGTCTCCAAGTCGACCATTCCACTCACTCTGCCACGTTCTCTCCTCAGTGTGAGACATGATGACAAACCTAAGCAGACCCCTCAGGAACTTACCTGTTGAATCAAATGCGGAGGTTTGCTGACTATGCAATCCAAAGGTGGGAGCCACTTGACCCCCTTCGTTCTTCAGTTTAGAAAGCTTAAAGAACAAATGCAAATACAATTTTCAATTGTTCATTTTGAGAAAGACTTTTCCCATGCAACTGCCTAGACAAGACCCCTTCACTTCACTTAAATTCAAATAGAAAAGGGCACATTTCAGTGTCTGCTTCAGACTGAACTACAAATGCACAGACATAATCAGGCACCTCAGGGGCTACGTTATAAACTACTGAGTCATGATTAAAATCCATTTAATTACCAAAAAAAAAAAAAAAAAAACCAAACTCACAGGTTTCATGAGAGGCTAAGTCCAGAAAATCCAAAAAATGGTCTGGCGGACAGACAGCTAGCCTTTGTACCAAAAAGGTCTGAGTTCAAGGCCAGCCTTGGACAGGGGAGGTGGGGGGTGGCCGAGGGAACCTGGACAAGTGGCCCAACCTGAAGCTTCCGGTCTCTTCTTCTTTTGTTACAAAGTTTTCCTTTGGGCCTGTTAATTAGGCTCTGCTTCTTGGTAGAAGAGTTCCTTCCATATTTCTCAGTATCCTTCTTACTATTTTTTTTAACAGTATCATTACATTAATATACCATAATTTATTCAATCACATAATTTCTCCTCTATTAAGATGGTTTTAAAGAAAAAAAAATATGAATGACAGGCTGATAGGTCCTATACAGTCTATATTAAGTGTTATTACAGACAAATGGGTCAATTTGGAACCCTCTTCTACTAATCAGAATCATTTTTTCTTGATTTTGATAAATGACCAAGAATACATGCATTATCAAGCGCGTTCAGTTATAATAGTCGACTGCCATTACAATGAATAGATACTTATAGCTAACCATTTTAAAAACCAATTTCTATACTTCTGAAGTACTGAACTTGAAATACTTGGAATTAATCTAACTTGTTCCAATTCTCAAAAAGTTTAACTAACATTAAAACTGAAAACTTAAGTTTCCTAAGTATTCTTAGGAAAGAAAAAGAGAGAGAGAGAAAGAAAAGATGGATATCTATGAAGCACTCATTGTGTCAAATACTGTGCCAAGCACTGAAGATACAAATATAACAGACAATACGATTATTCTCTAAGATGAGACTAAAAGTTCTGAACCACCAACTTTAAACTCAGAGTGCCTGTCTCAAAAACAAAACAAAAACCCTTTTTTGGACAACATTCATGTAATAATTCCTAATATGCACACTGTTTAGAGGGAAATCCATTCCCCAGCAAGAGAATAAGCCTTCTTCTTCCAAGGGCTGAGCCCCGGGCCTCACCAGTGCTCCTCTGGTTGCTGCACTGATGTTCTTCAGCTCAAGCAGCCTGCTCTTCCACAGATTCACTAATTGCTGGATAGAACTTAACTGAAATGAACACAACGGATAAACATGCTTGTCACTATTGAATAGTTTAGGGATATTTTAAATGCTAAACATTAACAAAGGCAAAATCTCTCTGTTATTTAAAGTACTGTTCGTGTCAAGCCCATTAGGTATAACTTTCTCCAATTACAAAGCTAAACAAAATCGGATCTGCCACTGCAGCTCTGAAAGGGGTTATAAAAAGCATTTTTGGCCCACCCACAAATGTGCATTGACCCTGCACAGATGTACCCATCCTCTTCACCCCTCCCTGTGCTAACAGGCAACAGAAGACAGAAACAAAGTTCATAAAATTTTTAAGGTTACTAAATCTCTCAAGGCCCAGCCTTATTTCTTTGAGGTCTTGGACACATCAGGACGTGTTCATTTGCATAACATATAGAAAGGGCTTCAAGATTTACATCAGTGGGTTTTCTAAGTAATCTAATGATGTTCCAAATTAATAAAGCCATGGTTACCATAATTTTATGTAACTGGTTCATCTAAAAAAGTTTTGTAAGTAAAAGTTAATAAATAAATCAAACTATCCCCAAGAGAAAAAAAAAGATAACTAAAATTCATCAACTTTACAAACAAGCAATAATGAACAGAGGAAATAGTCAGATGCCTGGTCACGATGTCTGAATATAAAGTGAACAGGAAATACACTTACATAGCTTTGTAAGGTGTTGCTGGTTATACAGTTGGAATATTCAAGTCTTAACTCTTCTGGTGAAATATCTGTAAAACCTGCAAGGCGAAATCAATTGGAATCTCAAAAGGGAGAGGATCTGAGTAGAACAATAGGAATTTCTAACAGAGCTAGCCCCCCAAAAGATCTCATTAGTTACTAATCAACTTGAACAGAGGTATAAAAAAGTTGGCAATACAAGGCAATGTTTGTTAAGTATGCTGAACATGCAGGCCCTGTGGCAGATGGAGGACCAGAGAACAAACTGAAAAGGCCTCAGCCTCAAGGAGCTTCTATTAGAAAACCAGGATGGACGATGGTCTGCCCTGGAGAGCGTCCTGCCATCTGCGCAGGAAAATGAGAGAGTGCTGGGTGCAGTGTTGGGAAACCCCGGCTTGAATCCTGGCTTGCACACTTGGTTTCCTGGACCCTCAGTTGGGTGGGGTTTTTTATCAGTAAAATGAAAAGGAAGGATTATGAGATTTCTAAGGTCTCTTTCATGAACCTTCCAGATCATTTAATCCAATCTTCACATTTGTCATGACTTCTTGAAGGAGGAGCAGCCTGGAGAGCAGGTGGGAGCTAGTTAAGACTTGCCTAGGAGGCTATGGGGGGAGCGGCATTAATGAGAAAATCCCTGAAATGTCCGTCTGCCCATAGGATCTCTGCGGGGTGGGGAGGTGAGGGGAGCAGACAGAGGGGAGAAAGTCAGGCAGGAACAAAGGGCCAGGTCAGCAGGAACGAGGTAGTGACCAGCACAGGGGGATGGGGGGATGGGGGGATGGGGGACGCTTCTCGCACTACTGGCCCCGGGCTGGTCTCCCATCCCCATTCTCATCTCTTAGCACAGTTCTGATGCAGTTCTTTCCCTAATCTCCCAGCTCTGCTCCCTGAAGGCGGCTCACTGCCCTTTCGATGTTATTAACGGTGTGCCTACAAAGCCCAACAGGAGACCCCAATAGCAAATCAAAGAATGCAATTGTATAATTCAGATCTTTTCAGCTGATCCTGGTTCTTTAAGCCGACTCCAGGGAGCTGAGCCTAGCTCTTCATTCCCTCCAGCCAAATGATCGAGACATTAAATTGTAGATCTGCTGCTCATAGTGAAGCTGGCAAGTCTACTAGGTTGTAGACTAACAGATACAGGGCTAGAAAGGCCCTTAATGCCAGTCTAGTGTGACCTCCTCATTTTATAGATGAGAAAAATGAGCCCCCAAAAGGGCCTTGTGCCTTGCTAAAAGTCACATGCGCAGAATTTGAACCCAGGGCCTCTGACTCCAAGCCATAACCCTTTTCTCTGTACTCTGCTGCCAACCTGGAGCTCTGGGTGTGGCATTTCTCAGTTTGTGCTCTCTGCCCACCAGCCCAAGAAGTCTTGTCTTTGCTTCCTAAATGAGAAAGACCCTTTGCTAGCTAGTCTCCCCCTAAACATATTTTTCCTTCTGCTAATGCAGTTCCCCTAAGAATCCCTATTTCAATGGTAGAGTGGTCTGAATAGGCATTTACCAAATGCCTGCTCTGTGCCAGGCATTGCATTAAGCAATGGGGATACAAAGGCAAAAGACAAAAGCGCCTGCCCTCAAAGGGCTCCCGGCCTAATGGGGAGACTCAACACGCAAACAGCTACCAAGAAACCAGACAGACCCAGGATACACCAGGGAGTCAACACAGGAGGCTTCTGCACGTAAGGGTTCTGACCTGCATGGAGGCTGGACCAGAGTCAGGAGAGAGGGGGCAGGGAGGTCAAGCCAAAAGCCATGAGGGCCCACACCAAGCTAGCGGCAGAGTCAGAGAAGGGGGCATCGACAGGAAATGCCAACAGACCGGACACAGTAAGTGCTTAATAAATGTTTCTTCTTTCACTCATGCCTGATCTCCCCAGGATAGAGTTTATTAGGATTCACGGTCAACATGTGAAATATCTTTTGGCTCGTGGCACATGAGAGCAGAACCCTCTGCAAGGAGAGGACGTGGTCCAATTGTCCATAATGTAGATGAGCAGACGGTGGTCAGGCAAGAGACTAAGTGGACATATGAGTCAAGGACAGGAAGAGGGTGGCGTTAGCGGATGGTGGGAAGGTAGGACCTGTCCCTAGATGATCTTTGTCAAGTGCTTAGCACAGTCCCTGGCACACAGTAGGTGCTTAATACTTGTTCCCTTCCCCCTTACAGACCGACTGACAGTGGAACAGGTCTTCTTAACCTGCAGTTCACATATTTTTAAAAATTCACATTGTGATATTATCTGCATTTCAATACAATTGGTTTCTTCTGTAAAACTATTTTATATATTCAAAATCCTGACTCTGAGATGAGTCCAGAACACAAACAAGGAGAGGTTGGGAAGGGAGGAGGGAGCTGTTTTCTACTCCTGGTGTGTGAGTCTTTGGGAGGGAAAGGAATAGCTTTCCCCATTTAACTGGGGCAAGTTTAGGAGAACTCGTAGAGAAAGCAGAGCTTACTAGGAGGCCAAATGAGGACGGCCAAGCTCAAAAGAGATGAGGGGAGGGGTTGTGCTCGAGGCTGTTATTGTGGATAACAAGGATGAAAGCACAAGGTTAGGAGACAGGCTGGGGGAGAGATTAGTACCGGGGAGACTTTAGTCATGAACCAGTCCCAAAGAGATGCAGGATCCACATGCTAGGAAAAACAACCCAGGAGGTGGAGCCTTTGAGGGAGAGGCTCCCCACAACCTCAGGGGCCACCGAGGTTGTGAAATGGAGGGCAGACCAGGGCCCTTCCAGCTCCTTGGCAGCAGGGAACAAGGCAAGCGTAGCTGCTGACAGGTCTGCCCTAAAAAAGGGGCCCCGCCTCCAGGACACGCACAGAACCTGGCAAACTCATCCCTCCATAGCCCTGAGCGTCTCACTCCCTTGATCCTGCCTCCCTGCCTCGCTTACCCCGCCTCGGACTTGTCCTGCTTCTGTTCTTACTTGCCTAAGCCCATGGATTGCCTTGGCATGAGCTTCAGGCCTCCTGCTTCGGATGACCCCGCTGGGGCCATGAGGGGCCAACCAGGAGACTTCCCCGGAGAGGGGAGAGCCTCGAGGTGTTACCCTTTGTCTGTCTGAGGCCAGATGGCAGGCAGGCCACCAGCTTCCTAGGCCTAGACTAGGGACTGCAGGGCTGCTTCCTGGGTGCAGGGCCTGGTGAGAACAAGGTCTTCAGGAGCTGGGATGGGGCCCAGTCTTTTTTGATTCTCTCATACTTGGAGGTTTGTAGTCATTAGCACTCTGAGACCCCAGACAAGTGATGGCAACAGCAGAGGCAGCACGGGCCCCAGGTCCCACCTAGCCCACAAGGGGCCACCAAGCACCTTTCCTATCTCCAGGGAGGAGCCAGCTTACCTCCCTTGTTCTTCAAGAGAAGCCACAAAGGCAGTCAAGGCAGCACTCGAGGGCGAAGCGCACTGGAGGGAGCTATCGACTGCACTCACCCGACGGAAGGACCTTTGGCTTGGGACTGAAACGTACCCTCCCCGACACATCAGGGAGTTGGCACAGAGACGGACACAGGGAACTTCCAAATGAGGAAACTCCCTCTCCCAACAGCAAAACTGTCAGAAGCGATCTACAATGTGCACACGTATGGAGAATTCCTGTATTACCTGATATATTTGGCTTTTCTTTCATTGGTGAATAAACAGAGAACGTCCACTGCCCTGAAGACTCCCACACCTCCATGTCTTTTGCTATTCCTTCACTGAGGGGGGAGAAAGCAATAAAACAGACTTCAGAATGCTACACTTCAAAAAAAAACTACTTTGAGAATTACAAGTCCATCTTTAACGACTTCAAACACTGACAAATGGCAATCTATTTAAACACATGTATATATTTTCCAATTTATCTTGCTCTTTAATCTGAATAGTGCTCTTTAAAACACAAAGAAATAAATGTCTTTAGGTGGCTGAGCTGCGACAAGGTCCTCCCTTGTCTTGGGGAAGGTCTGCAGACTGCACCCATCTCCTAGGACTGATGGAAACACTCAGCCTTCAGAGAAAACAGGAGACCTGCTATAGCACAAAAGACCGCAGGAGAGAAATTTTCTGACCTTAACAACACGTGCATTGACAAAAACAGTAACACACATCTTTCACTCGGTCCCCTGCAGGTCACACTTTCAGCAGCTGCTGCCTCCCTAGCCTGTCCCCATTCTGGCCGTGCTCGGACCTCATGGCTATTGTGATCAACAATGCGCAGAACACCCTCCTGATTTCAGACAGGAAATTATTATTCAACAGGCAGGGCACGGAGTGTTTGGGCTAATCAAGACATTCTAGTTACCATATATTCACTATACATCGATGAAATACATTTCAAAAGAATTACAATGTAACAAAAGAAGCAATCCTGAACTTCTCTTTCCCCACGAATTTAGCTACTGTGCCTCAGTTACTGTCAAGAACACTATTACACTGGGAAAATGTTAATGCAATAGTTCACAGAAATGGGAAAAAATTAAAGCTAAGTAACAGGTTACTGTACTGAATTTTGGATTTTATTCACACCTAACAAAGTGTGAAAAGGGGTTATTTTTCAATTATACACTGGGCTCAAAATGACCACTAGAAGGCTGCTGGGGCTGGTTACTAGGCTTTCTGGTTGGGTTCTAGAGAGGAAAAGAGGCTGTAAGAAAACAGCTGGCTTGTTTAAGCCCCTCAATGGGGTGGGATGCTAGTCTGAAGGAAGTCAGCTCCTAAATCCCAGCATCAGTGAGCAACTTCAAAGCCATTTCATCACTGATCACATAAAATTCTGCTCCTCAAAAATGTCTTCAATCTATTTCACAGGAAAGAAGCAAGTTATGCATTTCATTACTTTGAATAGGACTGAAAAACAAGCAACAAAGGAAGTGATCACAGGTCCAGAAGTCTAAAATAGTACTTTTCAGTTTCTTAACACACTGAAGCACATATGCAAGTAATTATAAATTTTAACAGTAGTATCTATAAAAATAAACATAACTAGGTTCAAGCATGGGGACAGAGCACTGGGTCTGGAGTCAGGAGGACCTGAGTTCAAATCCAGCTTCCGATACTTCCTAGCTGTGTGGCCCTGGGCAAGTTACTTTACTGTTTGCCTCAGTTTCCTCATCTGTCAAATGAGCAGGAGAAGGAAATGACAAACACTCTGATATCTTTGTCGAAAAAACTCCAAATGGGGGTCATAGAGAGTTGGACACAACTGACCACCACCACCAAAAGTTTCAACCATCAATGACGCTTTAAAAATAAAGCACTGTGGGGTATGGGAAGCACTTGAGTCAAATGCTCAGAGACTAAGTCTGAAGCCCTGGGTTCTGGTGTGGCCTCAGGCAAACTGTAGTCCCCCCACTGAGACTGACTAAGGTTGTGCTAGAGGTCAAGTCAGAGTCCATGTGAAAGCTGTGCATGAGACAGCAAGCACTGCAGAGACATGAGCTATCATTACACAAATGTAAAGAAAGGATTATCACTATGAACAGTCAATTTCCCAAAGCCACTTACATCAGTTTATCCTCGTCATCTTTCTGCCCATCCACTTGGTTAGAGCTCAGTGTAGAGAATCTATTCTGAGAAAACCCCACATTTCTGCTTCCACTACTTGATGCCCCTGAGTCAAAGGACCCAAAGGATGTCTTCCCTGGATCTCTGCTGCCCCCCCAAGCTGTGGATTTGGAGAAATTAGATGGCTGGATGACATTAGAATATCTCTGAGAACTGTTGCTCCATCCCCCTCTGCTACAACCTAAAATAAAAAATAAAACCTGAATATTACTTTATTGGTCATTCCTTTTTATTAAAAGAATCTTTACATTCCTTACATAAACAGAACTACACACTGTGTTTTATCTAATTGCATCTTTAAGAACATTAGAGAATATGGAAGGATTCAACAAGCATAACATTTCCAGTTTAGTTTTAAAAATGACAGTGGCAAATTTTATCATTTGCAGAATCAATGATGGTATAACTGATTTAAGCATAATATCAATTAAGCAAATAATAGCAAAACTCCATTTTTATTAAACAGAATTGAAAGTACTATATTTTCACAGTAAAATAACACATTATTAAGGCTGGGCTGACATACACCTAACAATTTAAAAACTGTTCCCCAGAGAAGCGTGCATAGTCCACAGCTAAAACTAAAAAGCAACCAGTTTCTTACATTAGTGTCCTAGGCAGGGGATGCCTCCGCCCCTAAACGTGATGTGCTTGAGTCTTTTAACTTTTAATATAGGGACAATGACATTTTTTCCCTGCTGGTTTTCAGAGAAATTATAGGTATAAATTAGTGTTAGTAGAGTACTTCAAATCCTTCCAATATCAGCAACTGTTAATTGTTAATGTTAAGGTATAGTTACTATAAACCAATAGTTGACTCTCAGAGACAAGATGGATGATCACGACCCGTGGACTGCAATTTTTCCTTGGTACTGTCCATACGGTATTTTTTTTTTCTCATTAGTTCACTCATCTCATTTATACCAAAATTCCCTAGCTGAGGCTGAAGAATCTGCAGGTAAGAGTCATTCTTTTTCCCTGACTGAATTCCTAGAGATCAGATTTTTTTTTTTTAAGAAATGAAGTGATGGTGGAAAAACTCAACCACTAAATTTCATACCTTAACTCTAAACAACTTATTAAAGAGCAAAGGAAAAGGGGTTGCTGGAAGGCATCTCCCAATAGAGTTGAAGGGAAATTTTTCTTTTTCTTTCACTTCCAATCCTCTGGGATGACAAAAAGCCTCTAAAAGGCTCTCTCCCCTGACGTGGACAATTGTGCACCCTTTACACACTACTCTTGGCTCTCTACCCGACGGTGGTCTGGGACGCAAACATCTTGTGCATCTTCAGCCCAAGGTTTCTCTACATCCTTTCTCATGGACTCATCCTGATGGGGGGGGGGGCAGGTCCCCTCCCCCAGCTGCCACAATCTTCGGCCCGGCTGCGGGGCTGGGGGAGGGGTTAAGCCTCATCCGGCTCCCCCAGGGGCACAAGGGGGGGGCCTTCTGGCCTTGGGATCATGTGACCCTCCTTAACTTCTGTGAAATGGGAACGATCACGGCGCCCACCTCGCCAGGCTGACTTACGGAGGGCCCTTACGTCACCCAGTTCCCATCGGGCAGGGGAGGAAACTGAGGCCCGGGCAAGTCACGTGACTTCGCCGCGGGCTGCGGGGGATTCCCTTCTCACTACACGACGGGCGGGGTCTAGGGAGCATGAATTAGGCGCCTCCTGTGTGCCGGGAAATGCTTGACACGGGCAGGGGCCGCCTCCGGGCCTTCCCCCCGCCCCCTCGGCCCGGCTCGGCGCCCAGCACACAGCAGGGGCTTCGTAAACGCCGGCCCGAGGCCCGCGGGCCTGCCCTGGGACCCGGCCGGGGTCCCCGGGGTCACCGTACCGGAGGGCGCCGCCGGGTACTGCTGCGGGGGAGGAGGCCGCCCCCCGCCGCCGTCGCCCCAGCCGTGCGGGTGCTCGTTCCAGCAGCGCTCCCCGAAGCGGCAGCGGCCTTGCAGGAAGAAGTGGCAGATGGTCATGGCGGCGGCGAGGCCTGCGGCTCGGTGCGCCCGCTGCGGCCTCGCGGGCCTCCCGGGCCTCCCGCTACTCCTCCTACTCCGGGGCCGCGAGGAGCGCGGCCTCAGCGAGCGTCATCTTCCTGCGCCCGCACGCGCGCGGCCGGAGGCGGTGCTTAGCTCCGCACACCCAATAGGAGGCGAGCCCCGGGCGGCGCAGCGATGACGTCACTGAACGCGTCGCCTCCATGCTGGACTCCCGAAGTGGACCGTTAACCCGGAGGCCTTTGCCTCAGAGAACGCATGCGCGGCTAACGGCCGCGCGCGGCCACGAGACTCATGCTCAATTAGAGGCGCGCTCCCGTGCGGTCCTACAGCTTGTGAGCCCGCATTCCACACTATGCAGCCCACTCCTCCACCTCCTGCACCGCCCATTGTACAGAGTAGTAAAACCGAGGCCCCCACAGCAGGGACCTTCTGAAGCCCAGCGTTTCAAATCCCCTCCTTTTACAGAAAGGGAAAATGAGGCCCGGGAGGGTCATGCTCCCCGTACAAGGTCATCCCTCCTCTGGAGATTTTAAAGAATTTAGTTTGGATGAAGAAAGTTCAGAATTTCAGTCATAGTCAAGTCGGGATTCTGGGCAGACGTGGGGTCCCTGACCCCTGACTTCATTTCCTGGAACAATTTGACTAAGGAGACCTCAGATGGCAAGATGGCGCCTACTCCCCCTAGGCCACACTAAGGCTTTATTGGCCCCACACTGCTGTCTGTAGGGGACAATGGAGAAGGCCGCTTGAGGGGGTCAAAGGGACCCCAGACTTTGTCAATGGTTGGGCACGTTGGTCCCCCTACCATGGGGGGCTGGACTGGACGCATCCCTCCCAGCCCTGGTCCGTCACCCTGCACCCATCTCATGGTTCTGCTCAAGGCCTAGCTTCAACTAAAGGGCCCAGGGTCAGGCTGTTGGCTCAGCAGGCCCGGGAGGTGTTCATATTATCCTCAATTCCCACATGAGGAAACCAGAATGCTCGATGGGAGTTAATCACCGTAAAACACTGAACTCCAGCGCTCCTTCAGTCAGACTGAACCTCAGAGTTCACCCATCCCACAATGAGGGAGGGAGAGCTTCATAAAGCACCGATTTCGTCCTCAGGCCTTTTCCCTACACTTATTAGCTATACAATTCCCAGGAAAATCACTTCTCCAGGCTTAGTTTCATGATCTATAAAACAGAGATATGATTTGCAATTCGCATCACACAAGATGCTTGTGAAGAAATAGCTTTTGTAAAATTTCAAATGCTATCATGAATGTACATTGTAAGTTTGCTTACAAACTGGCAAATGAGGCTGTCTGAGGAGGTTTACTTCCCTCTTCCTCCTTTTCCCAGTCTGTCCAGGTCTAGAAGTTGTGTTGGTAAAAAGCATGAGGCCCAAATTCCAAAGATAAATCTGATATGCAGTTCCTACCGATTAAACAACCCACGTCAAGGGAATATTTTAATACCCCAGATCATTAATGACCGTGAAAAAACAGCATTATTTTTCACTTCTTATCAGAACCATATTTTATGGCTCAAATTTTTTTCACCAAGCCGTTTCAAGTTGGGTTCATGACAGTTACGTTGGTGATCCTTGTCTTAGGGTGGCAATAATTTTCAACACATTACACTTTCATGTTTACATGACCATGACAACTCAAGTCATGAATTCTGGTTCACTGAAACATTTAATCATGAAGTGACAGATGTCCCCTTTAAAAAATAAGAGCTCAAAAAAATTAATAAAGGTTCGATTTATCTGCACTGCAGGGCACACAACTTTAAAAGAAAGGATGCAGTGAAAAAAAAAGGTACTGGCCTGTCTGGGTTAGGGACATCATTCTTGTCATTAGCAATTTCTTGGAAGAGTTCCAAGCATAGTAAAGGAAGTAAATAGACCAATTCTGAACTACTTCCATACCTGTGACTGATACACAAAAAAAGAGAAGAAAATTTTACTTTATGCTACCCCTACTCATAAACAAACCATAACAATGAACTAGACTTCATGCACTTTACCCAGGTGGATTTAAAAAACAACACTAGTATGTTTAAAAAAAAAGTTATCTACCAGATCATTCTGCACTGGATCATATTAATATGTATCTGATATGGCAAATGGATAGCCTACTGAAGAAGACACAGATTTTAAGAATGTAACAATGAAAAATTCTACAGTATGGATATGTTCGTTGACTATACTGTTCTTTTTTTTTTTCTTTTTAATGTCTGAAATTAGGAATTTAGAATAGTATCAGCATCACTGAATACAACCAAAATCAAAATACAAACGTATTTTACAAACTTAAGAAACAAATACTAATTGAACACAATCTTTTCTAGACGAGGCAAAATCGAGCCCAGCCTACCTTAAGTTAAACAAGGATATTAATTATTTCAGCTATGAATACTGATGACCGATGGCTTACATGATTCCCTAAAGACAGATTATCAGTAACTAATTGTTACTGGGAAGAGCTTCACGGAAAGGATTCCTAAAGATCTGATTGGCCATGTAGTGGCGGATATGGAAAAGACATCATCTTGAAAGCTGAAATATGGAAAAGACATTAAGTCCTGAAGGTTGACATTTTACAAACAGTTTCAGAGAACACTGGGCAGAGCACATCTTAGGTGAACTCTGTCCTCTAAGAAGAGATCAATAACGGTTTAATGAAGTGCAAAGCTTAACAACTGATGCGCACAGTACAATTATTAATGTTATCCTTGGCAAACGAGAAGTGTGTTTTACACAGCCTCGTCCTGGGGCTTAATGGAATATTTTACTGAAAGTGCAGATGGCAAGGCAGAGACTTCTTTTAACCTATGAGTGCTGCCATTAGGTATTTTAGCGATAAAGCAAAGACCCTAAGCTTCAGATTTTGAGTTTACATCCTAGCAGGGTAATACAAAAGGAATTAAAATGATCTGTACTCACCGAAGAGCTGGACAAACATTATTTGGATTTCCGTTTGCGACGTGTGTTATGTGTGTGCACCATACCTAAGTTTGGACTAAATGTACTTGCCAGCTTTTAGGATGGAATATATTTGGCACCGACAAATGAACTAACTGTATTTCCTTAATATTTGAGTTAATATCCAAGTATAAGTAAAAACCAAGTTGTTCCATCAAATCCCCTTGGCCTTGCCTCAACTGCTGCTATGATCTTAGCAGAAACTGCAAATTACAGCAGGCAGCACAGTGCCTTCAATGAGAGCTGAGTTATCTGCATCTTCCTAGTGATCTAATCTCACAACCCTATGATCACATCTGGCCCTGAAAAGCTGCAAGGCCAAACATACTTGGTCAGCAACTTCTATTTTCATTGAATACTTACAATTTTGCAAGTTATCCTTGCTAGATTGTGAAGGAAGAAAACCCACATAAAACAACATTTTATAGGGATTTTACTTCAATTACAAATTTCAGTTTAAAAAAATGTAACAAAAATGTCAGATGGAAGCACAGGGTGCCATTGTTTTCAGAGACTCAGAAAATATCTCGTCCATAGGAACGATTCATGTTTCAAGGGTTTCTTCATTTGCTCCACAGGTATCGACAACACAAATTAAACAGCTCGTTACTGGAAAAGCTCGGACTTTCGAATTGGCGACCCACTTGTCTGTTTCAGTATTATATTCAAGGATGTGTCCTAAACGACCCACGCCCTGAAAGCCAGCCAAGACATAAACGATGGCACCAACAGCTGCACATTTCACGGTTACGCCCTTCCATGGCATTGGTGACACCATCTTCCATTCATTCAGCTTAATATCATAATATTCCACATTGTCCAGACCACCTTTGAAAGATGGAAACAAGAAATTACTATATCTGATCACAATACGTAATTCCAATTTCATAAATATTTCTTCTAAGTCCTCTAAACGCTGAATACCTTTATAAAGACATAACTTTTCTTGGGTTAGAAACATAAAAATATTTGCTAGAGCTTTTTAAAACGAAAAGACAGGTGGCCTTTAGGGCAGAATCAGATAGCTGGATGAAGGAAAATAATCAGTGGAATTTTATTATTGTCCAACTCTCGATAACAAGTATGCAAGACTCCTAATTTCTTTTACTTCCTCCTGGCTTGCCTTTCAAACAGTCTACCAAACAATAAAACAGTAGTCAGGAGAAGGGAGGGAGAAGCTGCTTCTTGAGTCAAATTTGGCGAATGGTTAAAGTGATGGACTAAGACAAATTTTCTTGATCATCTACTGATTCGCTTATCCATGATCCTCCTGTGGGAACGCTTCACGATAATGGTGGACTGCCTTGTAGGACTAGGATTAGCAGGAGAAACAATGCCTATCGCCAAGTGCCTTAACTGTATTAATTATATCAGATTTTGTAAACTGTTTCTCCAAGGTGGTGTGCAATGGTGGGCAAAAAACTTGATCAGAAATGTAGGGTTGTATACATGAAGGACGAGGTGGTGATAGCGTGGAGCTGTAAGCAGTATATAACCTATGGACAGCTTACATGCTCCACTGGTACCCTCCCAACGTCAAGAGAAAATAAGAAAGGCTCCTAGCTCGTTGAGTGGACCATCTATTGTGAACTTATGGGAAGGCATGGATGAGAGCTGCACAAGACTGGAAGACTGTGTCACTAGAGGCAATAACGGACAGCATCAATAACATTGAACCACTGGAGTACTCCAGTGGGTATTGCCCACTTTTTCTTCCCGGGGAAACTGATATAAAATGATCACCTTCAGAAGTTCAGTGGTCGTGCCCTGTAGGCCTGCCCTCCACGAGGAGACGTTTTAAAGAGCAAGGTTGCCAGCTGGGAGGAAGGAAACACGCACGAAGGAGGTATGGCCTACAAAGTAGGAACCCATGACTGTTGGGCACAAGGTAGATGGAATTTGGGCCGAGGTCATGACAATCCCTTCCTCTCAGCATTAATCCCTACCCAAGTTTCCCAGGACTTCTTTCCTCCATTAACTTTAAAGTCGAGTCATTCTATTTTGCAAGCTGC